CCCCCGAGCGCGTGCTGCGAGAGCGCCCGCGACGTTCGGCCGCGCGGGCCGAGGCTCGCGCCCGCCGCGCCCCGCGTCGCGCCCGGGCGCCCTGCGGCGGCCGCAGAAAGGGGCGCCCGTGCAGGACGGGCTCACGGGGGAGACGTCGACCTGAGATTGGCGCTGCGTCGCCGATCGACTGGCATCGGGCCTCGATAATCCTTTCCCTTCCCCCCCCTCCTCCCCCCCTCTCCTCCCCCTCCTCCTCCTCCTCCTCCTCCTCCTCCACCTCCTCGTCCTCGTCCTCCTCCTCCTCCTCGTCCTCCTCCTCGTCCTCCTTCCCCTGACAATGTGGTAAGAACATTTTTCCTGGAGGCCGATGGACTTTGAAACAAACGGCGTAGATCGACGCACGCTGGGCGGTCCTAGCCAAGTCGTGTCCACTACGTCCCGTGCAGTACTACAAGAACGTATTCTTCTCACCCAAGCGCAACGCTATGCATCAACACCCCCCCCCCCGACCCACCCGGCCGAATAATGTCAGTTTGTGATTAACAAATTCGCGGGGCGGGGCGCGTTTCTTTTTCAAAGGGGCCCCTCTGGTCGGGCGAATCGCGGGAGTGGCGCCCGCCAAATTGAAACACAACGGCGGCGGCGCCGGTGATTAGCGCAGGCGCCCGGCCGCCAGCGAGAACGCGACAGAAACAACACTGACTGGAGGAGGGGTGGGGGGCGGAGTGCAACGGCGGCAGACGCAGGGACCGTGAGCCAGGGCGACCGCTGCTCGAAACGAGAAGGAACTCTTATCGGCGCTCGCCCCCGCACTTTCCGTGATTTTCTTTGTCGAACCGCTGCGCTTCCATTGCCGTCGCCAGCTGCCTCGCGGGCCAGCGAACAAAGGGGGCTGGACGAAAAGGGGGCGTGGCCAACCGGGGATTTGCCAAGCAGCTCACGTTGTTGATTTTCCGAGCGCTTCCTGGCCCCGAATGCGGCCATGCATCGAGGACTGGCCCCTCGGCGGGGCGACCACTGCGCGCAGCAGGTTTCGCAACCCCCACTTCCTTCCCCAACCTTTCGTCCGACCCGAGCAAGTCGGGCAATCCTCTTTCCTCCTCCCCCCGTCTGTCGTGGTTTGTCTGTCTGGAGTCGTCGACGACGACGACGACGACGACGACTAGACCTGGTGTAATCAACGACGACAACACCGACGCCGACGCCGACGACGACCACGAAAACGATGACGACGACGATGACGAGGGGGACGAGGACGAAGACGAGAACGAGAACGAGGACGACGGAGTGCGGACGGTGACGACGACGACGACGCACGCTGGACGCCCTATGGGGGGGGGGCGGGGTGCTGCGCTGGCCCGCTGTAGTCGACGACAGCGACGACGACGCTTGAGAGGGAGAACAACACTCGCCTCTCATGCATGTGTACTGACAACTGATTTATGGAAGCAAACAATCGTTTTGACGCTGTCATGCAAGGGGGTGCACGATCCCCTCGGCGATGCCCGCGACGACCCCCTGGCGCGCGCGTTAAAAAAATGGTTCGCGCCAAGCCGGGTCTATCCATCAACGCTGAGGGGGGCCTCATCTGTTAATCACAAACTGACATCAGAGAGACTGGGGAAAGAAACTAATACAAAATTGAACACGAAAAAAACCATGTCACCAACCCAACAGAGCAAATCAAAAGAGCGAAGTCGGAAAAAGCGTGCAACTGGCACAGGTCAAAGGCGAGTAAGACGAGGGCGTAAGGGCGCAGGGTCCTCTCAACACGCGGTACACTCGCAAGGTGTCGAAACACATAAAATGGTTATCATTTTCTGTAGTGTGTCTGTAGTGTGTGAAGGCGAACACCTGAATCTCAACTGATCCAGAGCTGAAGTCCCCGCCAAAGTGGCGCACGATGATAACCCAGAGATGAATAAACTAGCACTCCATAGCGGGCGTCAGCTCGTGTCGTCTGTTAATCGTGTGCCGATTGGTACCTCGCACGTGCATGGGCACGTCGTCCCTGCTATCAAATTCGCTTAGAGCGTATGCGAGACTCTCATGGGTTCCTGCATTGATCGTTTTGATGCTTCCTTGTCGAACCTCCTCTTGCAATCAGGATTGACAGACCTCGATGTGCATGACTTGTCCCCGTCCTCGCTGTCCCCAGTAGACATGGCCACATTCGCATCGTTCTGCTACCCAATGCCGCAACGAACATCGAAGTCTGTGAGAACTGCTTGTAGTCCTGGCGCCACTGACCCAACCCTTCACCACCTCTTAATGCTCTGCATCTCCAGACGATAGCGCCACTGCGCTCTGATGCGAACTCCACGACTCTATCGCACGCAATCCCCGCAACTGTCCCTGTACTCGTTGTTTCAAGAGGCACGCGCGCCAAGGATCGCGCAACGTCGGGCGCCGATGGGCCGATGGGGGGCCACGAGGCTGAGGGGGGGCGCGGTCGGTCGGTCGGGGCACGCAAACGGGAAGTCACGGGGGGCGGGGGGGCGCGGCCAGCCAGATGGGGGGCGCGGTCGGCCGGTCGGAGAAAGTAGACGGGAGCCACGGGGCGGAAGGGGCGCGGAAGGGGGGGGCAGGGAACGAGAGACACGGCCGGGCAGAGGGGGGGGTACGGTGGTCGGTTCGGAATAAGCAAGTCGGGTGCCCAGGCGGAAGGGGCGCGCGGGGGGGGGCGCGGGCGCGGGGGTCGCGGTCGGGCACGGGGGGGGGGGGCGGCGGTGCGTTCGGTTGGAATAAGCAGTACAGAGGGCCACGGGGCGGAGGGGCGCGAGGGGGGCGGCAGGGGGCGGGGAAGGGGGCGGTCAGGCGAGGCCGGGGGGGGGCGCGATCGCTGGTCGGAAGAATAAGCAGCGGCCGCGGGGCGGATGGGGGGGCGCGGTCGGGCAAGGGAGGGGGGCGCGGCCGGTCCGAACGAGGGCCGCGAGGCGTAGGGCGCGGGGCGAAGGGGGCAGCAACGGGGCGGGAGGGCGCGGTCGCAGGGAATGGGCACGGTCGGGTCGGCGCAGACGGGCGCGGTCGGGCAGAGGGTGGCGGCCGGTCGTCGTTCGGGAATGCAGACGGGGCCACGGTGCGGAGGGGCTCGTTTGGGGGGCAGGGGGGCGGGAGGGCACGTCCGGGCAAGAGAAAAGGGGGGGGGGGGGGGGGGGGGGGGGGGGGGGGGGGGGGGGGGGGGGGTGGGGGGGGGGGGGGGGCCGGTCGGTCGGAATGAGCAGACGGGGGCCGCCGCGCGGAGGGGCGCCGGGGGGGCAGGGGGGCGGGGGGGCGCGGACGGCACGCATCCCAGCACGTATCCCAGCACACGGATGCAACGCGCAGCTCTGCGCACATCCCAGCGCACGAAGGCAGCTCGCGTCCCGGCACGCGCCCCAGCGCGCATCCTGGCACGCATCCCAGTCCAGCACGCATCCCAGGCGCGGTCGGTCTGTCGAAATAATGCAATGCGAGATCGCACCAGTAAGCATGATGATACATGTCCTCTGGCATCTGACGCAATCGGTGTCAGTCCACGCCGTAACTCGTGAAGGAGCTCATTGAACAGGCACTGACATCCACGCCTGTCATGGTTCTTGAGAAACTTGCCCAGCTTCGCGAATGTCCCATGCCCTTCGGGTCGGAGCTGACTTCGGGTCGGGGCTGACTAAAAGCGCGCAAACTCCGCGGCTGGGTACTGAGAGCCCGACCGGTCCTGTGACATGGAATTGGCTCGTACCACCGAAGCGTGGTACTTCTGCGCTCCATGACTTGCCAGCGGCTCCTCCTTTTCTCCCTTTCGCGCTCGGTTCCCCTTGGCATCTCGCATCTCGCCTCTTGCTGCTCCAGGCCCACTTCGTTGGCAGATGTCTTCGCGCGCCTCTGTTCGGCCTCGTGCCATTGGCCGTATCGGGAGTCTTTCTCGGATTAACGTCGAGCATCTGTTTCACCCCCCCTCGCAACAATCAAGATCAACAGAATTACCCCGTGGGGCGAAACCATCTCTATGCGCCGTTAAACAGATTCGCCATGTCAAAACATGGCGATGCCTACCCGTTGTCAGAACCGATGTCGCTTGCGAAACCCATGTGCAATCCCCCCCCCCCCAAAAAAAAAAAAGACTGGCAGCGCCTCGAGTGTCGCGCATTGGTTTGAGCAGTCTTCCACACATACTGTGGTCACAATCTTCCACTGGTAACCCAGTGTTCTTCCTTGCCCGAGCGTAAAAGCACGCGCGCGTCGCATCATTTGAGCCCAGTGTGAATACTTTATCGCGCCCCCCCGCGATTATGCCCGACTCCTTCGTCAAGAGCTGCCAATGAAAGAATGGCTGCGAACGCGCTGTTTCTCTGGCAATGCACTTGATCTGCTGCGCCGCGAGCCGGGATCGGCACTCGGGGTGGGCCTCGTCTCCCTTGTCGATGCCAATTCACCTCGTGCCAAGTGGCACTTTACCGGCCACTGCCGCGCACTCCTCCTCCGCCACCTTTTCATATACCTCATGCTTCTTGAGCAAGCACGTCTCCTCCTCGCGAACATTTGACGCGGGTCCCCAGCCATGCTCGCCCCCTGGCGCTGGCACCCATGCCCGCGTTTTAATCTTTTCGTGGTGGGCCACGCCTATGTCCCCCAGGTTAACCAGCTGAGCTCTGCCTCGCATGTTCCTGGCGCTCTGAGCCAGCCCCTGCGTCGGAGCACTCCGCGCGTCCACTGGCGTGGCTGGATGTCCTGGGTGGCCCGACAGGCGAATCGGGCAACGACATTGCGCGATCCCCATCTGAACTCTCTCCTCCTCTCCTTTCCCTTGATCTCGCTGACCTCGCTGCCCCCGAGCACTTGGCCCGCGCGCCAGTCCTGGGGGGCCCGCGCTGTCGCGAGCTCCAGGTCGGCCCTGCACTTCCTGGAAGCATTAGCCCAGGTGCGCCGTAGTCTTTCCCGGCCCGCCCTAACGCACGCCCATCTCCCATCCCATTCCGCGCGTGCGCGATCTCTTTGCCGCCCATGCGTTCGCCTGGCCCGCTCCAATCAACTCCTGTGCCGCAGACGCTGAACGGGCGCCCTGATCGGGCGTCAGTAGCCATCTGGTTAACCCGACCTTCGAGTATAGCCCGACAGAGTCGACTGTGTATGTCCCTCGTTCTGCCTCCTCCACTTAACTCAGTGCGTCGACGCTGACCTTGGCGCGCGATACCGAGGGCCCTTTCGACGCAGGGGCTGTTGGTCATGGGCGCCGTGGGATTCCGCGCGAGCATCCCCCCTTTGACTATCTGCTTCAGGTCGTCGCTGCGCAGATCGCCATCATTCGGGCCATCATCCGCCGCGCAGGCGGCGAAGTCCATTTCGAGGCTTCTGCGGGGCGTTCAAAAGGAGAGATCCCACCAGCCCTCTGGGCGACGCGTGGTCTAAAGGGATTATTCTTTCCTCTTCTAAAAACTACGTCTTCCCTTTCGAGAAGGGGTTTGCCCCCCCCCCCCCCCCCCCTGCCCCCCCTCTAACGACGCGTTTCCAAGAAATCCCAAGAGGGCCGCGACTTGGATCCAAGTGCCCCCCAAACGACCCATCAGGACCCCGCCGAGAGCCCAAAAGTCCTTCAAACACCTAAGGGGGATTAAAGATCGTTGCCTTCTCGCTGCTTCGCTTCCGACGCGCTTCCGGGGCATCGAGAACACCCGGGAGAGCGCCGCGAGAGACGGATTTGAGGGCTCCACAGGGGGAGCGGAGATAAGGGAACTCCCTCTTTCGATCGGCAGCCTCCAGTATTGCCCCAAGAGGGCCCCAATGGGGGCCTCAAGAGAGCTCCAATGAGGGCCCCGCACGGGCCTCGAGACGGCCCCGCGAGCACCCAAGAGCGCCGCAAGAGAGCCCCAAGAAGCGGTTTGCGGGTTCCTGAAGGGGGAAGCTGAGTTGGGGACCCCCCATCCTTTGATCGATGGTCTTCAAGATGGTCCAATGAAACTTTCCAGGGCTCCCAAGAGAGCCCAACCGAACCTTCTCGAACTGGAGGCCTGCAGCCTGCTGAAAGCTGCGCGGGCCAGACTCGCGATCGGCAGCTATGCCACTTTGCTATTGATGACTCCCTTCGCTTGGAACGCCTCGACACGAATTTTGAACCCATGGGTTCCTGCATTCGTGGAGCGCGTTCAAATCCATGGCGAACCTCAGTATGAGTTCTATTTTCCCGCCATACCTATAGCTCGGACTGGCGAATACGCTTCAGGAGCATGTTACTGCACGCCGTGCTGGCCTCTGCCGCATAACCACACTGTTCTCCGAATTTCGCTGACGTGTTGAATGACGTAGAAGTCGGCACTGAGTAACCACTCTGCTACATTGGCGTCAAGACCCAGCATGTTAAACCCGGTGTGAGTCTCACCGGTGTTTATACGATCCTGTCATTTGTACTCCTGCTCGGATATGTTTGCTTCCATGTTCTCGTGGTCGGGATCCACACCTGCTTCGACTCCAAGAAATCCCTGCCATATCTCCTCGTCCCCATCTATTTCCTCTCTAACTTCTCTGGTCCCCTGATCGTTTCCAGGGTCATCTGCCTCTCCTCTTACTGCCGCTGACCTTGGCGGGGTAGCGTTAGCCGGTCGTTCGTCGTCTCGCCTCCAAGGCTAATGCGGAACTCCATCCATCCCGCCCAAGGCTCTCATGCCACCCTTGCACCCTCATTGTTCCAATCGACGGTCATATCATCCCTCTCATCAATTTCCTGATCAGTCACGTGCTCTCGTTTCTCGTTGCTCAATCGCTTGGGATGTTTAACTCCAATATTTAGGTGGCGCGTGAATTTTGGCAATGGGTCCGCGATGTCGTCGAATGGACGGCCCTTCGTTAACATCCTAGTCGTCTGCTCATGAACATTCCCTGTTCATGTCCTGCTGGGAACTATCGGACTTCATCCTCGCCTGCGCTGCGGCTACAGTCGGGGCCTTGACCTAAGGAACCCTAAATAAGGAACGAGGCCCCTTTCTTCCATAAGTTAAACTTCGATGTCCCATCGAAAACCCAAGGAACACCTAAGGCAAGCTGTGAAACACTTAAGGAACGCGGAGCCCCTCCCCGACCAAAAGGGTTCCTTCTTCAGGGCCCCGACTGCAATCTATCTCTGTAGGATGCTCGGGCCATCCCTTCCTTTGGGCCATCCGACAACACGTTCCAGGCAGCCCGCGCTGCGAAGCTTGCGCGCGGCGTCGCCAACGGCTGCTTCCTCGCGTCGCGCCCGTCGCATCCCGGCGTCGGCACCGTAGCCATGCACTCCGACTTTTGCGCCGCAGTTCCTCGGGCCGCCGCCGGCCTGGCATGCGCCGCCAAACCTTGACTGGGCACCGCCATCGGTGAGATTGCTCAAGCTGCACCGTCCATTCCCACGTGCGTTGGCTGCCGACCTAACCCTTTTCACGTTGTTAACCGCATCTAGATCCCACTTCCCCCCGACGCTCCGCTTGCGCCTGAACTCGCGAGACTTGATGGCGCTATCGGGGGCGCCCGCGATTAACTCCTAGCTCGCCTCATGTATTCCAAGGAATACACCGCTATCCCATCTTGCTCTGAGATCATTACCTCCATTGTTTTCGGCGGCGCCTTGAGGCGCATGACGCCTCCCTCTCTTCCCTCCTCCCTCCCTCCCTCCCCCCTCCTCCATCCTCCTTTCTCCCGCCTCCCTTCTCCATCCTCCCTCCTCCCTCCTCCCTTCTCCTCCCTCCTCCCTCCTCCTCCTCCTCCTCCTCCTCCTCCTCCTCCTCCTCCTCCTCCTCCTTCCTCCCTTATCCTTCCTCCTCCCTCCTGACTGGTCCCCCCCATCCCTCCTCCCTTATCCTTCCTCCCTCATCCCTCCTCCTCTTCCTGCTCCTCCTCTCCTCCTTAAATTTAATCCTCCTTCTTCCCTCCATCCGCCTCCTCTTCTCTTCCAACTCCAACTCCAACTCCCTCCTCCTCCTCCTCCTCCTCCTCCTCCTTTTTCCTCTTTTCCCCTCTTCCTCATTCTCCCTCCTCCCTCTCTTTCTCCTCCTCCTCCTGCTACCTCCTCCTTCTCCCTGGCTCCTCCTCCTCCTCCTCCTCCTCCTTCTCCTCCTCCTCCTCCTCCTCCTCCTCCTCCCTTCTCCCGCCGCCTCCCTCCCTCCCTCCCTCCTCCCTCCCTCCCTCCCTCCCTCCTCACTCCGCCACCATCGACCTGAAATCGCCGACACATCGTCGATAGATCGGTCCGCAACAGGCCCCCGACGACAGAACCCCACGGTCCTCATGGCAGCGGTGTGGGGCCACCGGGCCGCGAGCGGCGACCAGTGCTGGGCGATCGTGGGCCGACACCTCCCCGAGCCTGTGCCCCCTCACCCTACTCCTCCTCCTCCTCCTCCTCCTCTCCTCCTCCTCCTCCCCCGCCTCCTCCTCCTCCTCCTCTCCTCCTCCTCGCTTCCTCCTCCTCCTCTCCTCCTCCTCCTCCTCCTCCTCCTCCTCCTCCTCCCCTCCTCCTCCTCCTCCTCCTCCTCCTCCTCCTCCTCCCCCTCCCCCTTCCTCTTCGCCCCTGATCAGAGCGGCGGCGCACCGTGGCTCTCGCCGGCGCCTGTCGGAGGGCACCAGGATCTGCGCACCTGCGGCCCAGCCCTGGCGGGGCCGATCCTGGGCCCAGGATTTGGAGGTCTGGACATTGGCACCAACACCAGCACAGGGGATTGCCTCCACATGGGAAAGATGATCCTAGATTTCGGTGTCGGTGGCGATAGTATTTCGGCCACCTTGGAGGCCAGAATATGACCACCATCACCCGAGATCGGGATCTTTCTTCCCTCGCTGGAGGAACACCGCCGATAGTGGTGTTGGTGTCAACCTCTGGGCCTGCGAAGGATCGGCGCTCGTAATCTCCCGCCTGAGCAGGGAGGGCGCACTCGGCGAGCCTGGGCCCAGGATGAGCCTGGCCAGGATCCGGGTCACCTGACTTCGCGTCTCGCGCCCCGCGGTGCGCGGCTGCACTCGCGCCGACCGCGAGGCCGCCCTGGAGAAAGGCAGTTCTCCAGCCCAGGCCGCGACGCGCGAAGCGCGATAATCTTCGCGCCCCTAGAGGTGACCCAGAGGATCGGTGTAGGTGTGTATCTCAGCTGCCCCGATACGCAACACGCGACACGTAGCGTGGTGGCACGGAGCTTAACACGTATAGCGAAAAGACGCGTTTGCACGATAAGTTCGCCAACAGGTGGGCCAACATGTTGAGCCAACCCGCTGCTAGCACGGACGCTGTGAACACGGTTACCTACCAGACCACGCCAACTCAACCCCACGTCACCCTTGGGATCGTCAATCTCCTGTGGGGGGGGTCACCTCAGAACACTGGGGCCACCTCAGAACACTGGGTTCGTCACCCTTGGGATCGTCACCCTGGGGGCACCTCAGAACAATGAGGAAGCACGATGGAACCCGTACCCCCCCCAGCCCCTCCTCCTCCTCCTCCTCCTCCTCCTTCCTCCTCCTGCTGGCATGGCCTCGCTCGGGCCCGCCCGCGCAGGCGCGGGGCCAGGCCTGGGGAAGCCACCAGGCACACCGCTCCTCCCCAGACCTCTCCCCGGGTGCGCTCTGCGTTCCAGCTAGTCTCCAGGGGCGAATCCAGCGGTGGCGGCGAGGGCCTCCCAGGAGCTCCAAGAAGGCGAAAACGAGGCAAGGGTAGTGACACTCGTCGGTCGGAAGAAGGAGATAAAAGCATGAAGTAGGAAGGCTGTTGGGTTCAGGCCCTCCCAGAGAAGAACATAAGACAGCAAAAGCACGTCTTTCTTGAAGTATGAAGACACTGTATATTGAGATCTGGAATCCAACGACCGACGGGCATGGGTACAGTCGGACCTGAGGCAAAAAAACCTCCCGCAAAAACATGAGGCCCTCCGCCGGCCAGAACGCACAGAACATCCAAGGGCACCCTCCCCCAGGACGCACAAGGACACCCAGCAAACACGACGAGCACTAAAGGCACCCTCCCCGAACCGACCTCGACCATGTGCCTCGGTCCGGCTGTACCTACGGGTACCGTTTCCTCCTCCGACAGGCCGCGACGCTGAGGCGCCCGCGCGCGCCGCAGCGCCGCATCGGCCCAGAGGCGCAGGTGCTCGGGCGCATGCTCGGGGGCGCTGCGGCTGCTCGCCTCGGACAGAGCGGGCGACTCCCGCGGCGAGGGCTCCTCCCGCGGCCGGGCTCCCAGGGATGGAGCGCCGCACGATGGCGGGGGAGAGCGGAATGATCCTCTTCCTCCTCCTCCTCGTCCTCGTCCTCCTCCTCTTCCTCCTCCTCTTCCTCCTCCTCCTCCTCCTGCTCCTCCTCCTCCTCGTCCTCCTCCTCCCAGTCCTCGTCATCGTCCTCCTCCTCCTCCTGCTCTTCCTCCTGTTCCTCCTCGTCCTCCTCGTTATCCTCGTCCTCCTCGTCTTCCTCTTCCTCCTCCTCCTCCTCCTCCTCGTCCTCGTCCTCGTCCTCGCCCTCCTCCTCCTCCTCGTTCTCCTCCTCCGCGTCCTCCTCCTCCTCCTCCTCCTCCTCTCCTCCTCCTCGTCCTCCTCCTCCTCCTCCTCCTCTCCTCCTCCTCCTCCTCCTACCGTCTTTCTCCTTTCTATCATACCCCTGCTTCTCGTCTTCGTCCCCATCCACCTCCTCCTCCTCCTCCTCCTCCTCCTATCTACCTACTACCTACTACCTACTACCTACCTGCCTACCCACCTGCCTGCCTGCCTGCCTGCCTGCCTACCTACCTACAACCCGACCGACCGACCGACCGACCGACCTGTCTACCTACCTGCCATCTTTATCCTCCTCCTCCTCTTTTCTATCCCGCCCCTTCTCCTCCTCCCTCTTCTGCTCCCTCCCCACGTCCCCCTTCCTCCCCTCCTTGTCCTCCTCCTTACTCTCGGGCGCCCCCCCCGCTCCCCTGGGTGGTCGCGCACGTGCGCCACACCGAGGCGATGCACAGGGCGACAATCGAATTGGGTCCCCCACAGAGGCACCAGAGCTTGAACGCAAGCAGGAAGGCATTCTTGAAAGAGCTCGGGGGGGAGACGATACAATGTGTGAAACCAGTGCACTTCGCGCTTGAGAAGGCAATCATTTCCGCTGGTGGACGGTTGTCGCGTCAGGGCCGAGCCAGACTCCAACATGCCTGACGATCGCGGCAAAAATGAACGCTCTCCTGCGAGGCTCAGCAGCGGCGTGATCATCCAGAGTCCGCTGGCGCACTGTTTCGCGAACAAGAGCCCGCGAAGGCACAGATGCACACACGATGCATATATATATATATATATACATATACATACATATATATGTATGTATATATAGACAAATATATACACACACACACTTGCTCGTTTGCAACGCTAGGCTAGCTAGTTTACTCGCAAACCAAAATAATAAGGGTGTCAGTCATCATACGCAGCTGCGAAACACACGTGGTAATCCATCCTCTACCGCCTGCACAAAGGATCACAGCACCATGGTCAGGAATTGGGCGTGGCCGCTGGGGGTGGCAGAGGAGGGGGCCCGTGGCAAGAGCTCCGAGACTTCCAGACAAGGGGCGCCCTTGCAAGGCACCGCTGGCCTCTCTGCGCATGGATGCCAAGGGCAGGTCCCCGAACCGAGCAAACGCTATTGGAGCAGCATGCAAGTCAGCAGTCGCCCAGCGCATATCTAACGGGGGAACTTCACAATGAACCAAGACATCATCGAACCACAATCGAGACAAGCTTGAACACGCAACTTTGGAATCGAACGAAACGAACACCAGGAGTCTCGAACAGCCATCTGCAACCAAACTTGCATGAACTGCCTCGGCATCCAGCAACATTTGTTGCCATCGGAACGATGAAGTCCCGACCAGTGATATATCATTGCAGTCGGCTGTGGGTCCTCGCAGCCACCAAAGGCTTGATAATACGATTGGTGGCAGAGCTGATGGCCTTCACGTGATTGCATGTCAAGCTCAAGGGCTGAAGATACCGACTTGCGCGCACTCCGAACCGCGTCCTCTGTCTCCTCGCCCTCAAGGGGAAACGCAAGCAGCGTGTGATTGACGATCGGGGCCAGGAGCGCCACATCGGCTTGGGGAGGAGGAGGAGGAGGAGGAGGAGGAGGAGGAGGAGGAGGAGGAGGAGGAGAGGTACGAGGAGAGGAGGAGGAGGAGGAACGCGAGGATGGAGGAGGAGGAGGAGGAGGACGAGGAGCGCGCGCATCGAAGAGAGAGTTCCCGCATTCACCCCTACCCCACGGCGGCCATGCCTGGGCCGCTGGCTTGGGGAGGAGGAGGAGGAGGAGGAGGAGGAGGAGGAGGAGGAGGAGGACGAAGGGGACCAGTGCAAACCCAAGACCCTCGTTGCAATCAACCCTCCCTCCGAACTCCCTCTTCATAGGCCCCTCCACATATTCACTTGTACTACGGAGGGAACTGCCAAGA